TAAGTCAACCACAATGGCCAACGACCCAACAACTTCAAAAAGTCCTCGACGACGTCCACGGCTAAACCTGGTCACATGCACGTTACCCACGTGAATGCAACATTCAAACAGGAAGGGTGAGTAAAACGATTCATAATAATCAATATAAGAATCAATATATATATACACTACAACATTTAGGTTCTCCAACAACAATTGAAAAATGTTGTCAAAACTCTGGAAAACGTTGCCTAAAAGAATAGGGGACGTTTTCTAGGCGTCTCTTGTGCGAGCGTTGCCTATTGTCTTAGGGGACGTTTTTTCATAATCTTTGGGCACGATTTTTAAAAATGTTGCCTAAATAAAAGGAATAGGGCACGATTTTTAAAAATGTTGCCTAAATAAAAGGAATAGGGCACGATTATTCATGCCCTATGAGGCAACGATTTTTAAGTGTTGCCAAATGCTACTACAATTAGTAAATGTTGCCTTAAATCTAAAACAAAAGAATTGTTTTTAGTGTCCCATAAAATAAGGAGGTTTGTTTTTACAATTTCCCCACCTTCTGAATCAGGAGGATTGTTTTTACAATGAATATACAATTTTGCAATTATTTTCTAAATAATATAGTCGATGATGATTGGCTTCAAAAAAATGTCATATATGACTTAAAAAAATCAAATATAACCGTACATCCACAAAATTTATATTATAATAAAATCAAGTTCAAACATTAATTCAAGATAGTAGCCCGTAAACAAAATTGATGGCGTAAATTATTTATAATACTAAGTTTAATACTTTGAAATACGACCCTAGCAAAATAATAACAAAAAACATAGTTCAAGTTTAATTCTTTCAAATACAAGCAAACAAAAACACATCATCCAACTCATTCAAGTTTCTCTTCTTGGAATTCATCATCCATATCGTCCTCTTGAAATTCATCTGATATGTCGTCCTTCAGAAATTCTTCATCTACGTCGTCCTCTTGAAATTCACCATTTATGTCGTCCTGTTGAATCACCTCCAATATCTTTTTCTTGAAATTCATCATCTACATCTATGTCATCCTCTTGAAATTCATCACCTACGATTTTCTCTTGAATATCGTCCTTTTCAACATCTTCATTGATACCTTGCTGCATAAGAAAATAAAACAAAATACATCATAATTATTCTTCTATCAAATTTATAGAGGAAACACAAGTTGATCTATAAGGTTGAGTTAGGATAAATTTATACAGCAAAATCTTCAGAATTCATACATCAAGAAAGGGCTGCATAAAATAATTTAAACAAACAACAAAATTTGCAAATATATATATATATATATATATATATATATATATATATATATATATATATATATATATATATATATATAATATTTTAATGATATTTACCAGGGCCGGCCTTTCACAGGCGCAACAGGCTCTATGGAACTGGGCCCCAAAATTTTGGGGGCCTATTTTTTTTTTTTTTGAAATCTAATTAATATGAAAAAATTTAAAATATATATTATTTTTCCTCATTCCAAACGCAACCTAAAACCGAAAAGACGCCAAGGAAAATGAAACGTCGGCATTAAAGAAACCCAAAACAAAGTTGTTTATATACATCACATAATAAACCAAAAACAAAACAATATTAGAAAGAAAAAAACAAAACGGCGACGGTGAGAGTGTGAGACGACGGCAGTGCAGTTTAATCGGTAAGTTTGTTCAAATCAAAGTAGTTTATCTTCATGTTTTGAAAGAAAAAAAATATAAAATTAAAGAAAGAACATACATAGATAGAAACTTGTATGTGTTTCTTGGTTTATGATTCTTTCTCCCATGGCTCTATTGTGTTTTTTTTCTCCTAAAATTCTAAAATTGGTTGAGTTAATTTTACTGTAAAAAGAAAAGAAGAAATGGGTTAAGTTAGGTTTCAAAGAAGAAAGAAGAAAAGAATAGAGATGGAGAAATGAATAGAGAATAGTGAGTGCCGAGTAGTAGCTGTCAAATAAATGGTATAAGTAGAATAATGAGTTATGAGATTATTTTGTATTTTTTTATTACTTTATACTTTTGAGTTTTGATTAGTTCATATTAAAAACTAATTGAAAAGTAGAAAGGTTGCAAGTTGTCAAAGAAGTGTGATAGAAAGATTGCAAGCTGTCAAAGAAGTGCTTTTTATATTGTTGTGTCAAGAGTATGTCATTTCTATGTGTGTGACTCATTCAATTATCTCAATAGACAATAGTTTATGATAGAATCTAAAATTTAGAATTAATTGTAATAGAAAATATCAACAACAGTAAGATTAAATTAAAAATAATTAATTTTGGAGCATTTTATTTTCTGTATATTTCATAGTAGTGTTAGTAAAAATAGTGATAATATAATTAAAGTATTATTAATAAATAATAATCCCATTTTATGATGATTACAAACATGTTTTTTTTTTCTGGTACTATTTTTGCTTGCACTAATTAATAATTTATTGTAGGAACTTAATTTAACAACGAGGCTACAAATAGATCGATTGCTAGTAAATATTGCAGAGTTGATCATTGGCGGACACAAGACATTGTGAGATATTCCAGGTTTTTTTTTACTATGCCTCCTATTATGCCTCCTAAGAATAGAAAGTATGAATGTGGAAATGATAAACGTAAGAAAAGGAAAAAAATTGAAGAGTTAATTCAATCTCAAGCAGGAGCTCTTGATAAATTTTTGATAAAAGAACCACAAGTTCCAAATGAAAGTCATTATGTTGATAATACTAATGTTGAAATTCTTGATAGTGTGCCCATTGAAAATGATAATGTTGATAGTGTGCCTATTGAAAATGATAATGCTGATAGTGTACCTATCGATGATGAAGTTAATAATGATGATGATAATCTTGAGGAAGTTAATGATGATGATGATGATGATGATGATGTTGATTACGATATATTTGATCCAAGAAATTGGGATCGTCTTCAACCTAAAATGATTGATTTATTAGTTATGAAAGGGCCTAAACGGGATAATTCTATTGTGAGGGGTCCTAGAGATAATTGGAATCGACGCTTTACGACTAATTTGTATACTAGAGCTTTAGCAAATGGAGAGAAGTGTGATAGAGATTGGCTTGTTTATTCAAAAGAGCTTGATAAAGTATTTTGTTTCTGTTTTAAAGTTTTAAAAAATGGGATTGGTAGGGGACAATTAGCAAATGAGGGTTATAGTGATTGGTCACATGTTGGTGCAAGAATTAAAGAGCACGAGTTAGGCATGGAACATGTTAAGAATATGACTACTTGGTATGAGTATCGTTAAAGGTTGCAGAAATTTCAAACTATTGATAAAACGACTCAAAGATTAATTGAGAAAGAAAAGGATCACTGGAAAAATGTTTTAAAAAGAGTTATTTCAATAGTGAAATTTCTTGCTAAACATAATTTGGCATTTCGTGGTTCTAAGGAAAAGTTGTACGAAGATAGCAATGGCAACTTTTTGGGTTTGATTGAAATGTTAGCTGAATTTGACCCAATTATCCAAGAACATGTTAGACGTGTTACAACTCAAAAAGTTCACACTCATTATCTTGGACATAAAATACAAAATGAGTTGATTTCATTACTTGGTTCTGCAATTAAAATTGAAATCATTAGAAAAATCAAACAAGCAAAGTATTTCTCAGTAATACTTGATTGTACTCCGGATGTTAGTCACCGAGAGCAAATGTCTTTGATAATAAGATATGTGGATGTTTCTTCAACTTCTATTAGCATTGAGGAATCATTTTTAGGATTTTTGAATGTGAATGATACAACTGGTCAAGGGCTTTTTGATGTTTTACAAAATGAATTGAAAGAACTTGGTCTCGACCTATTTGATGTAAGAGGACAAGGTTATGATAATGGGTCAAATATGAAAGGAAAACATCAAGGTGTACAAAAGCGATTTTTAGACATAAATCCAAGAGCTTTTTATACTCCTTGTGGTTGTCATAGTCTTAATTTGACATTGTGTGATATGGCTAACTCTTGTAATAAAGCTAGGAATTTTTTTGGAGTTGTTCAACGCATTTACACAATTTTTGCTAATTCAACAAAGAGATGGCAAATTTTGAAAGATAATGTAAAAGGGTTGACTCCAAAATCATTATCATCCACTCGTTGGGAAAGTCGTGTTGAAAGTGTCAAAGCTATAAGAACTCAAATGTCAGATTTTACAGAAGCTTTACTTGAAGTGTCAGAACATGATCTCGATCCTAAGATACAAAATGAAGCTAAATCCTTAGCAACTAATGAGCTTGGTGATTTTGAATTTTTGATGGCTATAATTATTTGGTTTGAAATATTATCTGCAATTAATTTTGTTAGCAAGCTTTTACAGGAAAAGGATATGCTTATTGATGTTGCTATGGAAAAAATAAAGGAGTTGATTTCATTTTTTGAAGGATATAGAGAAACAGGTTTTCATAAGGCATTGGTTAATGCTAAGGAAATTGCGGTTGAATTGAATATCGCTCCAATATTTCCTCAAAGGCGTATAATTAAAAGAAAAAGACAGTTTGATGAGAATTTGAATACACCAGCAGTCGAGCTATCTGAAGAGGAATCTTTCAGGGTTAATTATTTTCTTTACCTTGTTGATCAAGCTGTTGTTTCTCTTAATAAGAGATTTGAGCAATACCAAGAGTATGAAAGTATTTTTGGTTTCTTGTTTACTTCTCACAAGTTACAATCATTGGATGATGCAACTTTGAAGTCTTTTTGTAGTAACTTTGAACGAGTACTGAAACATAATGAGCAATCTGACATTGACGGGAATGAATTTTTTGAGGAATTAAAGTTACTAAGACAAATGTTGCCTGAAGAAATCATAAGACCTACTGATATATTATTATTTTCAAAAGGCTTGGATTGTTTTCCTAATACAGTTATTGCATATAGAATTTTGTTGACTATTCCTGTGACAGTTGCTTCTGCAGAAAGAAGCTTTTCAAAATTAAAGTTGTTAAAGACTTACTTGCGGTCTACCATGTCACAAGAAAGACTTAACGGATTGGCGTTGATAGCAGTTGAAAATGATCTTTTGGAGACAGTAAAATATGAAGATTTGGTTGATGAATTTGCTTCAAAAAGTGTTAGGAGGAAGGCTCTTTTTAAGTAGTTAGAAACTTTATATTGTATAAAAAGATATTATTAGTTTAAACAATACTTTGAATTTTTAGTGTATTTTTTTATTATTAAATTATATATATATTTTAGATTTAGGCCTATTTATTAAATTAAAACAGGGCCTCCAGATTGATTGGGCCGGCCCTGATATTTACGATTACTTCAAAATTCATGAATAGTTATTTGAGAGTTATGAAAAATTTAATCTGGATCGTAACACTAAAGATATATAATTTTAAATATAAATATGAATCATTTCTCAAATATTTTGAAATTATTAAAATTTCTTATCTTTAAAATATTTGTAAAAATCTTGACATGCACCTAATTGAGATACATATTTTTATAGTAGTATTATAGAAGACATATAGTCCTTTTAAAATATATCTTACACGTAATGATTGTAAACATATATAAGAAAAAATTACACAGAAATATATTTACATGTATACTAATAAATTAATTAATTAAATTGTAGTGGGAGCCAATGTACCCACATGATAGGCTTTAAGTCTATCACTGTCTCTATCAGTATGAAACACACAATCATAATATCTTTTTCAAAGAAAAGAATAGTGAAAAATTAATCCTCTGTATTCATTGGTATTCTATACTCGTTGTCATCCCTAAGATGGGATCACGGTGGACTAACATAAAACCTCAACCACCTCAGTAAAAATATGAGAAAATAATGTGAAATGTGAATGTGGTGCAATATGTACTGAAGATGAGAAGGCCCACATACCTGTGTGTAGCTTCAATAATTGATTTGGGGTTTACAAAATTAAGAGATCTATCTTACAAATGAGAGAGATTATCTCACAAAGGTGCTTAAGGTATGATGTTTCTCATGGTGTTACGACGCTCAAAATAAGGAGGAGGAAAATTAGGGTTGAATAAGAATAATGAACGATGATTTCTTTTCCCCCAAATAAAATATTGTGTTGCTTTGATGAAAAGATAACAACTTTTTTATTTTAATATTTTTTAATATATCAAATTAATTATTAGTATTATATTATTTATGCTATTTAGAGGGAAATCTCCTGCTAAATTTTTGAGAATGAAATTTTGATTTCATAATATTTTTTAATTTATCACTATTAAATTAGTTACATTATTCATGGTAAATTAAAATAAATTTTACAATCAAGTTAATTATGCTCCATAAAAAGTATCATACACAATAAATAAATATTTTTTTCTTAATGAAAATTAATTGTTATTATTATTAGAATTCAATTATTGTGCAAGAAGTTATTATTATTAAATTGTTGATTGATCCGAACAATTTTTGTTTTGTTTTATCACATAAATTAAGGTGTATTCTTTTCTTACTATTTGGTTTACAAGTTATGTTTTACCGCATAAATTAAGGTGTATTGTTTTTATTTTTTACCGGTACTTCACAATTTTAAAATTACTCATATAAATTTAAAACAAATTAGATTGTTGAAAATTTACAAATTTTCAAATGGAAATGCATATAAAAGAATTATATTATTTCAATCAACAATAATTGTTGCTGAGATAAATTATATTTTTTCCAACCATAAAAAGATTATTGAGAGACAAATATTATTATATTATGTGTTAGATAATTTTTTATATTAAAATTTTTTCAAATAATGTTTAGAGGAAAATATTTGTTTTTTAGTGTAAAAGTTTGGAGGGAAGATTGCCACCAAAAATTTGATGTTGCTAAAGTTTTATGCAACATTGAAGAAATGTAGTCTTTTATCAAAATTAGTGTAACAATCTAAAAATGTCCCCAAAGGTATTTAAGGGGTCAATTATCAACTATTACTAACGAAATAGTATAATGATGTTATAAAATCGTCCCCAAAAGTAGTTAAGGGCACAATTAACAATCGTTACCAAAAAACTAAAAGAGTGACGTTCCAAAATCGTCCCCAAAAGTATTTAAGGCAACAATTATTAAAGGTTGCGGATATATTTTTGTCAACATCCATAAATCGTTGCCTATACGAATTTTAGGCAACAATTTTATCATGTTACCTAAAAAAGTGTTGCCAGAGACAACAAATGTTGTAGTGTGTCCTCTTACATCAAATAGGTCGAGACCAAGTTCTTTCAATTCATTTTGTAAAACATCAAAAAGCCCTTGACCAGTTGTATCATTCACATTCAAAAATCCTAAAAATGATTCCTCAATGCTAATAGAAGTTGAAGAAACATCCACATATCTTATTATCAAAGACATTTGCTCTCGGTGACTAACATCCGGAGTACAATCAAGTATTACTGAGAAATACTTTGCTTGTTTGATTTTTCTAATGATTTCAATTTTAATTGCAGAACCAAGTAATGAAATCAACTCATTTTGTATTTTATGTCCAAGATAATGAGTGTGAACTTTTTGAGTTGTAACACGTCTAACATGTTCTTGGATAATTGGGTCAAATTCAGCTAACATTTCAATCAAACCCAAAAAGTTGCCATTGCTATCTTCGTACAACTTTTCCTTAGAACCACGAAATGCCAAATTATGTTTAGCAAGAAATTTCACTATTGAAATAACTCTTTTTAAAACATTTTTCCAGTGATCCTTTTCTTTCTCAATTAATCTTTGAGTCGTTTTATCAATAGTTTGAAATTTCTGCAACCTTTAACGATACTCATACCAAGTAGTCATATTCTTAACATGTTCCATGCCTAACTCGTGCTCTTTAATTCTTGCACCAACATGTGACCAATCACTATAACCCTCATTTGCTAATTGTCCCCTACCAATCCCATTTTTTAAAACTTTAAAACAGAAACAAAATACTTTATCAAGCTCTTTTGAATAAACAAGCCAATCTCTATCACACTTCTCTCCATTTGCTAAAGCTCTAGTATACAAATTAGTCGTAAAGCGTCGATTCCAATTATCTCTAGGACCCCTCACAATAGAATTATCCCGTTTAGGCCCTTTCATAACTAATAAATCAATCATTTTAGGTTGAAGACGATCCCAATTTCTTGGATCAAATATATCGTAATCAACATCATCATCATCATCATCATCATCATTAACTTCCTCAAGATTATCATCATCATTATTAACTTCATCATCGATAGGTACACTATCAGCATTATCATTTTCAATAGGCACACTATCAACATTATCATTTTCAATGGGCACACTATCAAGAATTTCAACATTAGTATTATCAACATAATGACTTTCATTTGGAACTTGTGGTTCTTTTATCAAAAATTTATCAAGAGCTCCTGCTTGAGATTGAATTAACTCTTCAATTTTTTTCCTTTTCTTACGTTTATCATTTCCACATTCATACTTTCTATTCTTAGGAGGCATAATAGGAGGCATAGTAAAAAAAAACCTGGAATATCTCACAATGTCTTGTGTCCGCCAATGATCAACTCTGCAATATTTACTAGCAATCGATCTATTTGTAGCCTCGTTGTTAAATTAAGTTCCTACAATAAATTATTAATTAGTGCAAGCAAAAATAGTACCAGAAAAAAAAAATGTTTGTAATCATCATAAAATGGGATTATTATTTATTAATAATACTTTAATTATATTATCACTATTTTTACTAACACTACTATGAAATATACAGAAAATAAAATGCTCCAAAATTAATTATTTTTAATTTAATCTTACTGTTGTTGATATTTTCTATTACAATTAATTCTAAATTTTAGATTCTATCATAAACTATTGTCTATTGAGATAATTGAATGAGTCACACACATAGAAATGACATACTCTTGACACAACAATATAAAAAGCACTTCTTTGACAGCTTGCAATCTTTCTATCACACTTCTTTGACAACTTGCAACCTTTCTACTTTTCAATTAGTTTTTAATATGAACTAATCAAAACTCAAAAGTATAAAGTAATAAAAAAATACAAAATAATCTCATAACTCATTATTCTACTTATACCATTTATTTGACAGCTACTACTCGGCACTCACTATTCTCTATTCATTTCTCCATCTCTATTCTTTTCTTCTTTCTTCTTTGAAACCTAACTTAACCCATTTCTTCTTTTCTTTTTACAGTAAAATTAACTCAACCAATTTTAGAATTTTAGGAGAAAAAAAACACAATAGAGCCATGGGAGAAAGAATCATAAACCAAGAAACACATACAAGTTTCTATCTATGTATGTTCTTTCTTTAATTTTATATTTTTTTTCTTTCAAAACATGAAGATAAACTACTTTGATTTGAACAAACTTACCGATTAAACTGCACTGCCGTCGTCTCACACTCTCACCGTCGCCGTTTTGTTTTTTTCTTTCTAATATTGTTTTGTTTTTGGTTTATTATGTGATGTATATAAACAACTTTGTTTTGGGTTTCTTTAATGCCGACGTTTCATTTTCCTTGGCGTCTTTTCGGTTTTAGGTTGCGTTTGGAATGAGGAAAAATAATATATATTTTAAATTTTTTCATATTAATTAGATTTCAAAAAAAAAAAAAATAGGCCCCCAAAATTTTGGGGCCCAGTTCCATAGAGCCTGTTGCGCCTGTGAAAGGCCGGCCCTGGTAAATATCATTAAAATATTATATATATATATATATATATATATATATATATATATATATATATATATATATATATATATATATATATATATATATATATATATATATATATATATATATATATATATATATATATATATATATATATATATATATATATATATATATATATATATATATATATATATATATATATATATTGCAAATTTTGTTGTTTGTTTAAATTATTTTATGCAGCCCTTTCTTGATGTATGAATTCTGAAGATTTTGCTGTATAAATTTATCCTAACTCAACCTTATAGATCAACTTGTGTTTCCTCTATAAATTTGATAGAAGAATAATTATGATGTATTTTGTTTTATTTTCTTATGCAGCAAGGTATCAATGAAGATGTTGAAAAGGACGATATTCAAGAGAAAATCGTAGGTGATGAATTTCAAGAGGATGACATAGATGTAG